CAGCAACGCCTTTTATCAACGAGATGTTACCTTAGAATGCAGATCAACAAACTCAATTCGAAAGCGCTATAAAATATCATTCGTAAAACTAAAACTTACTACTAATAAATTATTTGAGTATTTCAAAAAAGACGTAAACGCCTGAAAGCATCGAGAACAATACCAATAATATCATATAAATGTGGCTGATTCACAGTGAATGAATGATTTAGCTTCAATGAACGGATGAATATAACTTGTCTAAATGAAACGATTCATGGATTCGAATACGTCAAAACCATTTCAGCCATCGTCAGACCACATCTAAACACTGTCTACATTTTTCTAACTTTTCATGTTAAGAAGCGACACCGCTAACGAAACATTTCAAACTGTTAAGCAAACTTTATGCAATCAATCAGATTAACGGACAATGTCGTTAATTCAGTCCACTGCAACAAGACAATATTCCGTTCAGTAAATAAGAAAGAAAAATGTTAAGCAACAGAAAATACAATCGAAATTTTAGACATAAACCCAAATGGACGACCCGTCATTCTTGTTTGGCAATGAAAATTTGCGATTTGATACAAACAACAATTTGAAGATGATCATAAAATTGAGATAAAGTCGTCATCTATACAGAAAAATGAAATATACACACAATGCTACATTTAATCAATATATAAGACAAATACAATCGATTGCAAAATTCAAATGGAACTGGGGTAATAACACTCTCAAAAACATGCGAATCAATCAACAATCCCATTATTTGACGGGGTTGTGATTAGGAGTTATTATTATGGCTAATTATTAATGTTGGTTTTACTGCAGTTGTGATTATTCGCAGTCGTTGTTGCGGCAGCAGCACATCTGTTCAACACTGGAACAACAGTTACGGTTCGTGGCCCCGTTCGGATACCGGTCAAGGCGGTTGTGCTACGCAAAGCAGCTGTTGTTGAGGATGGAGCTGAGAGATTGCCCGTGTTGGCAGAAACACTGATACGATGCTGACGTTCACCTCCCGCCGACTGCTGTGCCGCTGTTCCGATCGAACGACCCAGCAAATCTATTGTNCGAACCGTTGGTGAAGGATTTTGTGGGAGCATCCGCAATGAGAGAGCGTGCTCGGCGAAACGAATGCAGAGCGGGTGAGGCGCGTTGTGTAGTGGGATGACATGCGACAACAGGTTGTAGCATTCCTTTACTCAATAACATTTTGGTATTTAAGCAAGACCCATTTGTTGTTGGTGAAACTGCTGCATTAATACTGCGTGCTGAAAATATTAACACTGTTACGATACATACATACCACTCAGCTAATCGCTGCTATTTAATGCACGTGAAGCAATCAAATCGTTCAGCTGATCACTGAATAAAAGCACTGAAGATCCGTTTTAAAAATTCACCTGGACGGGTACAATCACCGTGTGATCTGCTAAGTATCGTAGGCGAACTGGTAAAAATGACCGAATCTTCGAGAGTGGTAGGTGTGGTAGGTGAGGAATAACTATTGATATGTCGATAATGTTGCCTTCCGTACCGTCTAGGGGATGAGCATACTGATAGATGAGGAGCAATCGTTGTTAACATTGTTGCTTCTGCAATACCAGATCAAAAATTCCATTCCTTGGGGTAACTTCGATTGTTTTACATCACAATCAGTTAGAAATCAACAGTTTCGAAGCCCCTGCGTTCCGTGCACTCCTTTAGACATGCGGTGGAGCATTATTTTCCCTCCTCAAAAACTTCGTCACTTATGAACGGCTCATAACAGCCAGCAATTCCTTACGGTATCGATTTGCCAACCTCTTCGGCCCATCTCCTTTCGACGCTTCTAAATTTCTCAATCTGACGAATTTACTCGCAGTGGAAAAAGGCAAAAACAAATTCATTCATTCCCATGACAATCCATATCCTAGTTACAATTAACCTTAGCAAATACAAAAATAAACAAACCATTCGTCACAACGGATTGATGTGGTGAAATGCGCATTTTCAGAACGGATGGTTGTAGCTCATAGATACGCTGTGTTGATATCTGTCTTAACAAACGTTCATTTGACCGTTGCTTTTGTACATTCAGAATACCATTGTTCAACACGTCCCCTTCACCATTCAAATCAGTCACCGTTGTGTATTCATTGCCATCAGTATCAGACTCCTGCACTCATAACGCAATAATTACTACACATAATTATCACTGCACATTATTTTTCTGATAATTTCGCGAATTCTCCATTTTCCTCTAAAAAGCATACTTTACGACATCAAAAAAATTTCTATCCAATGCAATAAAANTAACATGACTGCATGAACAAAAACTAACTGCGATCGTTGTGGTGCTCATCAAATCAGAGTTGCTGAAAACGGAAGAAGTTGTTCTGGAAGGGGTTTTATTAACAGGTGCTGTAAAACCGTTGATACTCGGAGTAGCAGGTGACGGTGTCCGACGAACGTACAAATATCTTGTTTGATGCTGAGGTTGCGCATATATTGAAACGCTTCCTGTCCCAACAACATTTGGTGACAACGATTGTGACGATGTGATTATTTTGTTACCAAAAGTTTTACGCACAGTAATGCCATTGTTAAGAAGGCTTCCAGCACTCGTCCGCACTGCACGATAGATACGAGCTGAATGGTTTTGTGCTTGTTGTTGCACCCCTTCGACGGCCAGTGCAGGTGGACGCTCTCGTTCGTCGTCGTTCCGACCGTGCTGACCCATACCCGCATCCATACTCTGTCCTAGACCTGTTCCGCTCGTTGTCACATTCGATGTCTTGAATATTTGCACATCTCTGCTATAAACGACTTCAAATAATCTCGACCAATAGAAACATATAATTCATAATCACTGATCAAATCGGTGAAAAATGAGATAAAGGGAGAGAGAGTGAGTGACCAGCACGTACCTCATCGCATCTGTTGGCACATTCGCACCAAAATCAGCTCTCAGTGATCGAAAAGTACCGGCGGCATTGTTATTTGTTACCATGCTTCCGTTCAGTACCGTCGACGAGGTAGCTTTCTGGTTGACGCCAACTGAAGCTGTGGAGATCACCTGATTTACGGTTGCAACGCGAATTCGTCCATGCTCCGAAACGGTGCCGGCATCTGAAGGAACAGCTGGGATTAACAAGCAACGCGATTTGCTCTCACTGAACAAAAAGCAACGAGAAACACTGCCTCGATAATCAACTCATATATTGGGTAAGCAATAAAATCACTTGAGCTGCCTGAATCAAACCAAAAATTAGCAATGCATGGCCTTTCAATTACGCTAATAGTTTAGAACAATACTAACCAGACAACCTTTCGGAAGGGTTTGTCTCTGAAGATAAGCTGACTGCACCAAGTTGCGATGTTGATAATACTTTCGATTCGCATGTTTCGGACGGGACTGGCGAGACTAACTCCATTTTGGTACGAATATCATTTGATCTGTAACAATCAATATCAGTTACGACAAATGAATGAACGAATTAAGCAATCAAATAAAGATGAACGCATGAATATTAAAGGTTACTTGGATGACTGATTTGTTGGGATGATGGCTGGTGGAGATGAACGGGGTGGTGGTGGGTAGTTGAGTGATATACCGAGCGCACGAGCTAGCATGATACGCGCGTTCGCATACTTCAAATCATCATGCCGACAACACGACATCAAATCTCTGGCTGACGATGAAGATGAGCACGTCATTCTGCAGTGGTCTTCATTGAGGATACGTTTACAGAGGTGAGTGAGTGCAGTGTCCACCGGATATTGCACTCACGCCCGATGTGACAATAATTAGTAATGCGTTGCGATCACATCAACTGAATAATCGAAGAATAAGTGCCTAAAAGAAAACAAACCCCGAGGAACCGGCTGAAGGTGGTGATGAACATGATCGATGCACTCTTTTGCACGGCAACGTCGATGACTGAAACGTATCACAACATTGGCAATACGTTATTGCACACAGTTACATTGTATTGCACATAGATTAGAATATATTCACTATATTTTGAGTAAAATGATGAATTTGCAACGAGTGACAGCTGAATGATGAGATGTTAAGAATTGTATTTATGAATAAACTTACGCAAGAAATTTGTACAAGTCGATGTTGTGCGGATGGATTAACGACTGGTTGTTGACGAATCAGAATTGGTGGTTGACATACCGACGACGTGTCCATCTCTTCTTCACTTCCTTCTCCATTTCGCAATGCCTCACCCTCAACCACTTCCATCTCTGAACGCTGCTCTTCTGGCGTTAACGCTATCACCGAACTACAATCACTGACACTGACTCAATACACCTGATCAACATAAGAGACAAACAATGATCAATTCACAAAAACCAACGCATTCGAACTCGGCGATTCAACGATCTCTTGCTTCAGAACCAAAATCCGATTTGCATTCTCATTCGATTCATCCCTGAAAGCCACATCAGCTGTCTCATCGTCGCTCACCGACGTGGCTGTCGACATTTCCACAATCAAGTTGCTCATGCTGGCTTGTTCACTAGCGTTGATCTCTTGTCGTTCGGCTACTGACATTTTGATTTGTTGAGGTTGTGGCTGGGACCGGCACTGGGATTGTAGTTGTGGCTGAAGGACCTCGCCAATATTAACACCCCCATCATCCAGATGAAAATTAGTGATCACACGCGGACCACCATTATTTATGTCTCGCATTCCATTTATCAATGAACGCATCTCATTATCCTGCTCAAAATCCTCTTCCACACAGCCTGAAATGCACCGATTAGCTCCACAATCAATCAACAACCTTCCACTATTCAAATTCAAATTGAATATAACGAACGAATTCAATCCCCGTGCGAATGAAAAGAGCACAATAACATTGAGAATAGTAATGAAAACAATAACTACCTGTAGTTGTTACCGCAGCATAATCAGAACTAATGATAAGCGAAGCAGGTGGTGTTGTTGCTGTCGTAGTTGGAATATACAGCTGAGATGAAGCGACTGGAGCAGTATAGCCACTTATGTTTGGTTGACTGTTGACTTGTAAGGGTTGTGGTTTGGAGGTTTGTTTGGAGAGCATGAATGCTTTTTGTTCGATTGGTGATAGCTGAGGGGGTGATGAAGGAGGTCGTGGAGATCGTAAATGTGTGAATTCAGTTGATGTTTCGACAGGGGATGACATCATATGAACTTTTGGAGATGTGACAGAAGAATGCTCTAGACGTTCTAAGGGTATTCGACGTATGCTATTTGATGCTGTTATCGTTGCCATCGGTATCGACAGCGGTACTGATGAGGCTAAGCACTGAGTTGACGGCAGCACTAGCGTAGATAGCGATGAGGCAGAGGCGGATGGAACGTGATACCTTAATTTTGATTGGTGAGTATTCGTCTCACATACTCTCGAGCATCAATCACATAAAAATAGCCTTTGAAAAATACTGCATTGAAGCGGTTTATACGAGCTCGAATTGATACCCTTTTGGCTAGTCTATTTGATTACTCTACTCTGAGTTCAATCCAAAATATCGCCTCAGCATAACAAAAATCCGCTTAATGGATCAGTCAAATGAATGAGATGAGACGAAATCAAATCAATTTCATAAACAAACCTTTGCATACTAACAGTAGCAACAGCATCAGCAGAAGTGGCTGCAGTACCCGCGTCGGGAATAGATGAAGAAGTGTATCGTTGGAAAAGACCATCAAAGGATGGTGATAAGGGGAATGTCGGTTGCTGTTCACGCATAGATGGACGCAATGCTGTCATCACATTGTTCGACTGCTGAATCGTTGCCAACGGTGAGGATGGCGTTGTCATGCCAGTGATCCGTGACGTAGCCACATTCGAACCAACAACAACATCAGTGCTCAACAGCCCATGAGTCTGATCAACAGTGCATGACGCACTGGTTGGTGACTGAACACGACTAGGTGGTGCTGGTGGAGGTGTGATCAATTCAGAATCGACATTTACACAAACTGTTGGCATGGCGCTGGTGGTTGGCGTGCCNAGACATCCAGTCGTTCAGATTGCAACAGACCAGCAGCTGCAGCTCGGCGTTTGTTCGCTGCAGTTGCAGTGGCACGCATAGGACTCACCTTCGACTTATCGTCTTTATCGCTCATTACTAGCGTCGATGGTGAGGATATGGCTGATGTTGTTGCGTCCATAAGGAGCGCACTTGACGATGTACAAGGTGCTGTATTCGTACAGCTCACTCCTTGAAATGAACAATTATTGTGCAACATATATTCAGAGCACTGAATACAATTAGAATGAATGATAAAGCATCATTACGTTGCGATTCAAGACGTTTCTTGATACGAAGATGCTCCAGTGACATGTGCTCCTCATCCGATGAATCACGTTTCCGTTTCCTTTTCTTTCTTGACTTGATACGACCATTCAGCTGTTTAGTTATTTGCTGCTGCTCTGATGCTGATTGAACTGGCGATGACGATGATGTTTTAATCAATGACTTATCTCTCACATTAACATCATTCACCGGAGATGATGACGACGGATCTGGTTCAATCTCTAACGGTATCTAGAATAAATGATGCCTTGTAACATTGACCGGACTACTGTCAAATCAGAGTTATGGTCATTAGTAAAAAGATTTGAAATTGTAAAATAAAAGAATTAAGTGAAAAAGAAACCTCTCTTCTTGAAACCCTCAACGATAACTTCAAATCGTCTCGTTGTTCTACCGAATATCGAGGTGATATTGTACGAGAAACAATACTAACGGGCCGGTCGTCAGTGGGGGATGAACTGAAATTACTGATTGCAAAGTTTGTGATGCGATGACAAATAATTCAAAAATGATAGTGAAAACAATAAACTCACAGATGGTAGGATGTAGATGGTTTGCGATATGGTGGTGAAAGAATCGGAGGATAATCATTACTCAATCTCGGGGACGTGACTGCGTGAGGAGGTGACAACAAGAACGACTGACACTCATCGGCGGACGCTGGTGACTCTGCACGAAATGAGTGTCTTGAACGCATGTGATGACCATATCCCACATCCTTTATCAACATACCACAGTGCTGCAATCATATTCGCTTACATTCGTTGAGTTCGAGGTGTACGTTACTTCTATTTGCTCAGACTTACATGAATAACAATTCATTGAATAAGATCATACAAACTCATTCCTCAAAAGAACACAAGCTTTTTGAAATATTTGAAACATACCTTACACTTAACCAGTACCATTGAATTAAGCTCAATACTCGGGTAATACCCATAGCAGACCGCTTCTGTAACACGCATTTCATTCACTTTCGACATTGCTACGAATGAATTTTTTCGAATCGATGCAAAGGAAATTAAGAGTGACACGGATGTGATGTGATGAAAAGACATAAAAGCAAAACAATGCAAGTACGAACGACTAACTTTGACAGGGCATACTGGCGGCATCAAAGCCGATATCGGAGATATGTACATGATGAGATGAGGGATGGGCTTGAGTCGCTGCTAGCCAACCATCCCATGGAAGTCCCTCATACTGGCTGAAGTCCTCGTCTGAGGACATCACAGATTAAAATTTCAAACAACAACGGTTGTTGATGATGGTGTTGAAGTGTTTAATGCAGATGATAGGTCGTCGTCGTCGCTTACGCTTCAAAAACATCCCGACACCATCAAATACACCTCATACATCTCGTTATCACAGATCCGATTTCACTTAACTGTTGAATAACTCTTGGAAATATCAGAACACGAAATAACTGAAAAACAGAACACTACATCGTTCGAATGAACTAAACACGTACCCGCATCATCCACGTTTCAAGCGTTCACAAAACGATTTTTTGCGTATACCTGACCTGATAATCATGCTGTCCGTCTTATAACTTATTGAATATATGCAAAACTACGCTCAGCATGAAGCTTTAAGCGCAGATTCGAAAGGTAACGTGCAATCTATTGATGAAAAGTCTTTCCAACTAACCAATTCGTTGCGTTAACCATGATGTGCG